TTCATGGCCGTCTGCGGCACCTACTACCGTACCTCGATCCGTCGCGTGCGCCGCAATGCGCGCGACGACCTCAACCGCGAGATGGCCAAGAACAAGCTGGAGACGGACACAGAGAGCTTGGAGTGGATCAACAGCTTCCTCGTCAAGTTCTGGCCCATCTACGCGCCCGTTCTGTGTGACACCATTGTGGGCACCGTGGACCAGGTTCTCTCGACCTCGACCCCGGCGTTTTTGGACAGTCTAAAGATGAAGACCTTCGTCCTCGGAACGAAGCCCCCGCGACTGGAGCATGTAAAGACATACCCGAAAACGCAGGACGATATTGTTCTTATGGACTGGAAGTTTAGCTTCACACCCAACGACGTAGCTGATCTTACCGCGAGGCAGATCAAGAACAAGATTAACCCCAAGATTGTCCTAGAGATCCGCATCGGAAAGGGCCTAGTCAGCAAGGGTCTGGATGTTATCGTCGAAGACATGGCCTTTTCCGGTCTGATGCGCCTGAAGTTTAAGCTACAGCTTCCGTTCCCTCACATCGAGAAAGTCGAGATGTCTTTCTTGGAGCGCCCGACCATCGACTACGTCTGCAAGCCCTTGGGTGGAGAGACCTTTGGTTTCGACATCAACTTCATCCCCGGATTGGAGACTTTCATCATGGAGCAGATTCACGCCAACCTGGGCCCAATGATGTACGACCCGAACGTGTTCCCTATCGAGATCGCCAAGATGCTTGCGGGTAACCCTGTCGACCAAGCTATCGGTGTTCTGCAAGTCCACTTTCACGGTGCTCAAGGCCTCAAGAACCCCGACAAGTTCTCTGGTACTCCTGATCCCTATGCCACGGTCTCCATCAACAACCGCAACGTGCTTGCACGTACCAAGACGGTGCACGAGAGTGCCAATCCTCGCTGGAATGAGACTGTCAACATCATCGTAACTTCCCTCAAGGATTCGCTTACTATCAATCTTTTCGATTACAACGACATTCGCAAGGACAAGGAGCTCGGTACCGCTACCTTTGCGCTAGAACAGCTAGAGGAGGATCCTGACCACGAGAACATGCAACTAGAGGTCATGTCAGGAGGTCGCGCCCGTGGTCTCGTGACAGCGGATGTACGCTTCTTCCCTGTTCTGGAAGGCACTACGCTGGAAGATGGTACCAAGGAGCCTCCACCAGAGTCGCGCACGGGTATCTGCAAGTTCACTGTTGAACAGGCCAAGGATATGGATGGTAGCAAGAGCATGATCGGGCAGCTCAGCCCATACGCCGTCCTCCTCTTGAATGGCCATGAGATTCACAAGTCCCGGGTCATGAAGAGGACAAACCAACCTATCTGGCCAGACGCAACAAAGGAAATGCTCATCACCGACCGCAAGAAGGCTAAGCTGGGTCTAGTCATCAAGGACGACCGTGACCTCGCAGCTGACCCTATTCTTGGTACCTACCAAATCACGATGGACGACATGCTTGAGCTCATGGCCAAGGGTCATGAGTGGTACAACCTCGCAGGTACATCGAGTGGCCGCGTGAAGATGAAGCTTGATTGGAAGCCCGTTGCTCTAAAGGGTGCTGTCTCTTCCAGTGGTTATCTTACTCCCATCGGTGTGATGCGACTGCACTTCCAGAGCGCGCGCGGACTTCGTAACCTCGAAGCCCTGGGCAAGTCGGATCCATACGTCCGTGTGCTACTCTCTGGTATTGAGAAGGGCCGAACCGTCGTTTTCAAGAACAACCTCGACCCTGACTGGGATGAGGTTGTCTATGTCCCTGTCCACACTGTCCGCGAGAAGCTTACACTGGAGGTCATGGACGAGGAGAATCTCGGCAAGGATCGTCCCCTGGGACATATCGAGCTTTCGGCTGGCGACTATATTCAACAAAACGAGAATGGCGAGTACATCGAACATGAACAGAAGCAGCCTACCGCAGGAGCTCTCCGATTGGCTGGTTCTTCTCAGCCCAAGGGCACTCTCAACTACACCTGCTCCTTCTACCCTACATATCCCACATGGGACCCCGAAGAGGACGAGGAAGAAGAGGAGGAGACTAAATCCAACGGCGCCGCCCGGCCTGTGTCCAACGGGTCTAAGCTCAGCCACCAACGTGTTGTATCCAACGCTTCGACCATTGCCAGGTCGGAGACCGCAGGTACTATCTCATCACTCAAGTCGAACGAGAAGGACATGGCCAAGGAGCTTGAGAAGAACGAGCTCCAGCAAGCAGAGTCGATTCCCGAAAAGCCGAAGATCGAGAAGCTGAAGCTTACTGCGGACGATCTGCAGCAGTATGGTAGGTCGCATGCCGACTATGAGGATACAGTGGAGTTTGGCTTGTTCAGTTGGTTCACCCTGACCTGCAACCTGACCCCGTATTCTTACATCATATTTACGAGTCTTGGCTAACGTGACGTAGAATCTGGTCTGCTTGTGTTCAAGCTCATTGAAGGTGAATTCGCAAGAACTGGTGGCCACGTCGATGTTATTATGGATGACATGGCGTATGCCAGCTATTCTAGCACGAAGATCCGCAGCAACAAGATGACTTTCAACGATGGTGGGTTGTGTGAAGTCCTTCATGATGTACCAAGCTAACGAGATGCAGTTGGCGACACGATGATCCGCGAGCTCGACTTTTCCAAGATCACCCTCCGAATTATCGAGCACATCGATAACGACGGCGACGATCATGGAGATCACGTCATTGCTAAGCTGACAGGAAACACGATTGATACGCTACGAAGGTCTCTTCACACGCCTACTCAGTTCACGCTCAAGGACAAGAATGGACGCGATAACAAGATCACGGTCATGCTTAAGTACATTCCTGTCAAGATGCGTCTCGATCCCAGCGAATCCTTCAACAACCAGGGTACGCTCCGAGTCGATGTACTCGATGCGGCAGATCTTCCAGCTGCGGACCGCAACGGTTTCTCGGATCCTTACTGCAAGTTTATGCTCAACGACAAGGAGGTGTACAAGACCAAGACGCAGAAGAAGACGCTCCACCCAGCATGGAACGAGTACTTCGAAGTACCAGTACGAAGTCGAACAGCAGCTGACTTCGTCGTCAACGTTTACGACTGGGACTTCGGTGATAAGGCTGACTTCCTCGGCAAATCATCTATCAACCTGGAAATCCTCGAGCCCTTCCAGCAACAAGAAGTTACGCTTGCCCTCGACGGTAAGTCAGGCGCCATCCGACTTAGAATGTTGTTCAAGCCAGACTACGTCGTTCGATCTCGTCAAGGCTCCAGTACCTTCTCCGGCACCTTTGCTGTCCCCGGCAAAGTCATTGGCGCGCCCGTAAAGGGAGTTGGTAAAGGAGCGGCCTTTGTCGGTGGCAACGTAGTCCGCGCGGGTACCTTCCTAGGTCGTGGTTTCAAGCGCAGAAAGTCTCGCGGTGAAGCCCCCGACGAAGAAGATCTCGCACGCCCCTCCACATCCGACCGTCCCTCCGCCGACACACCCATGATATCCATCGAAGGCGAGCCCAACACCCCCACAAAAGACTCCAACAACCACAACCGCCACCGCAGCTGGGGCGCTCAAAGCTTCCACAGCCGCTTCGGCGACAACGCCGGCCCCGGCGGCGCCGAACAAGGCACCGCCAACATCACCGTCCTCTCCGCCGACGGCTTCCCTGCCGGCACCAACCTGCGCGTGCACATCTCGCTCGGCAAAAAGGAAATCCACAAGACCGACCACATCAAAGCACCTCAAGGCTCCGTCCAGTTCGACCCCTCGGAAGAGAGCTTCAAGACGAACTGCACGGCCGATGCCTTCTTCAAACTCGTGGTCAAAGACCACAGTAAATTCGGCAGAGACGAGGAGTTGGGTGAAACCCAATTCACCATCTCAGACCAGGGTAGCGGCGCAGAGCAAAACGTTGGTGTGGGTAAAGGCATGGTGAGCATACGCAGTAGCTTCACGCCTAGCGAGAGCGGAGGCAGTCCATCTGGTAGCGTGAGTCCGCGACCCAAGACCGCGGAGCGCAGGGGGTTACTCAGGAGGGATCGCAGTACGACGCCTAATCCTGGGGCTTAGAAAGCAAGTGCACTGGGTAGGTTGGGCCAATTGAAAGGGAATGGGTCTAGGGTTAGTTTTGCGAGGAGCGAGATGGTTACTAGTAGGGGGAGACGGGGAGAGACGGACGTTGATGGGGGCAGGGATGCGGAGGGGCTGGAGGAGGATAGGATGGGTGTGCTCAGGGAGTGGATTGAGGATGTTGAGAGGGGGAGGCGGAGTTTTGCGCTTTGATGCAAGGTAGGGATAGATTTGGGGTCTGATGAAGGGCAAAAGGCCGCATCGGGTGGGCCAGGGTTATCTTCTTTCTGCTTTTCTTCTCTCTTGACCTAGGTCCTCTACTCCTAGTTTCTTCCTAGGGTCGGTCTTCTCTTCTGAGTGTAGTTTCGATACCAAAGTTATTTCTTTGTTCTAAAACTTGTCATGTATTGGTCATTGAAACGAAAGCTATATGCATCCCTCCATATCTACGATCGTTCTCACTCAGGACATGGTTTTGTACTGATGTAACGAATCTCGTGAATTGTCCTTCACCTCCTCCCCACCAATGCCAAGAACAGTGAAAGACCAACTCTCCAACTACTCCTTCACCGAAACCGGAGATAAGGCTCGTTGCAGTGGTCGCAGTAAAGGACTGCGTTTGCTCGGACTTAACGTGGCGCCGACGCAAGCAATTGCGTGCTCGTCAAAGTGAGCAAAAACGCGCGGGTGACTGCGGCACTGACGTCGAAACAACAAAGTGAAGGAGGGAGTGAGCAAGATAAATCGATGAACAATGCGGCTACCTGCTGGGTCCTTCACTTGCTAGTGCGTATATAATCTATTGATACTGTCAGGAGTATACTTCTTTCTTCCTCTCCACACACGACACCTTCGGGACTTGACAGACTGGAACCAAGTATACTTGACCTTCCTCCATTTCGACTTGATACTTGACTCAATCTTCTCTCCACCTTCAAAGCTACTCTCTTGCTACAATGACGGGCCGAACCCCCCCTGCAGTCTTCAACTCCTCCACTGCGCCGATCGACCAAGATTGGGTCGACGCTGAACTGATTCCCTTCCTTCAGCGCGTCTACCCAGAGGAGCGTAAGACCACAATGGAGTGGAACCGCCAGGTCGTCCTCGGAAGGGCACACCTGGATTGGCTTGTAAGTAACCCGAACGCCAACTTACTCCGCATCAGTCGGCCCAAGAGCACACATTGCGTTTACACCAAGCCACACAACGGTGGGAAAATACGTGAAGTGCACCTGGGTCATAAAACAGCCACGCCGCCATCACCTTATCGTAAGTACTGACGCATACACCCCAGGATCAATACCAAGACTTCCCGTTCACGATTGAACGTCTCCGCCTCTGCCTCCTCAACTCAGAGCTCTTAACACCGGCGGAAATGTCGCAGTTCATCCCTGTCACTGAGAGAGGCAGCCTGCACTGCCTCCGTATCTTCATTCGCCACGCCATTGTACACGGATCGTACATGCTGTATTCCTTAGGAGACGACCCGAGTCCGGAGTTCCCTCGAGCAGGACATACTAGTACTAGGCCGTCCATCACATCTCCAGCTGAAGCTGTCCCAGCGCGCGCGACTTCTGTCGCGGTGCTTGAAGCTAGGAATGCGACACTGGAGAGGGAACTGGCCAGCCTTCAGGCTGAGCGTGGTCGTGGAAATGGTCGCGGAAACGGTCGTGGAAGAGGTCGGCCTTCGCAGCCTCGTGGCGACTTCGTTGGACGTTCGGACCGCGGTGGTCGTTTCAACCAAGGACCAAATGTTCCTCCAAACATGCAACAGACGCCATCTCAGTTCCCTTCAAACCCACCTCCGGGAATGTATGGCTACCCAACTTACCAGTATGGGTATGGTAATCCTTACATGGCTGCGCCGGCTATGGGTGGCTATCCTATGCAGCCCTACCAACAGCAGTATCCTGGTGGCTGGACTGGTAGCCAGATGATGTACTCCAGCCACCAAGATTACTCTTCGCAGACGGGAGCAAGCAGCGGTTTCACAATGCCGCAGCAGCAAGTCGGCCTTCCGGGTTATCAAGGACAAACTGCTCAACGTGGTCGCGGATCTTCAGGAAGTCAACAAGGCCAAGGCCAGGCGCCGTCTCAAGGTCTTCCAAGTCGTCCTCAGCAACCACCTTCAGGATCAGGTGCAAGCACTCATGTGCCTCGCCCAGACGCGGAAGAGTTCTATCCAGGTTCGGATACCCACCAAATCAGTTCTGCAACGCCCATGTCACTGACTACCAGCAGGATCCAACAATGGCTACAACTGATCCGGGACGGCTGATTGGAAGTGAGACGAGTTTTTCCGGCAAGTGAGATTTCGGTGAGACCGAGAAGAGAAGAGATAAGGGCAAAAGTTTTGGAAAAATGGTGGTCGGCATCTGATAGTGATTCGCCTCAGTGGATGTCACCACCTCCATCCTCTCGGCAGTAGAACCCATAGATGTCAAATCAAAAGAAGTTCGTTGGTGCGGTGATCATTCCGCCACGCCTTCCGCCAGTTTTCCGCTAGCAGGTCCGTGCTTCATTGATAGCGTGAGGTTTATCTGAACACCAATTATACCCGCCGCTTCAACACCAACCTCTCCAACTTTCCAACGCCCCGTCGCAACCACGCCCCATCAGCCATCATCTCGCGCGTGATCCATTGCAGAAGGAGGTAACCGTGATGAAACGCTTATACTGATAACCCTACGTCCAAGGCCTTGGCTACCATCCGGGCGGAGATCCTAGATCCATTCAGGCGCGTCGCAATCGTGACTAGGGCCAGAAGGGGAGGTGACAAGACCAAGAGATGGATACTGGCTTGGCGCGTCCTGCGCGCCCGCATGGGAAGCTTCCCTGAGCGTTATCTTTTCCTGCTTAGCCCAGCTTGGCACGTCTTTTTCGAACGTTCCGCCGCGCCCATGGAGCAAGGCTGGTTGCTCGTATTGGCGCGTGGGTTCTTCGCTCATTCCTATCTTATCCTGATCCTGGGGCTACCATGGCCTTGGATGCCTCTAACCAACGCGCTTAATTGCGGCAGTATGCCTGAAGGTATGGTTTGTATGATCCTCCGACCGGACTAGGCGCCGTTCCATGGTCTTGGATGGCTGTTATGTGCATGTTGCTATGATAACGCGGGAACCGAGCGAACGAAATGCCATGGCGAGAGTGGACACGCTCGATAGTCGCGTGCGACCCTTGTGCAACTCTTGTCCAGAGCTTCGGTCTTGGAGTTTGCTTGGGTGTATATGAAGAGGGGCATGGTACACCTGTCTGGACCGCAGGCACTCAAGTTCATCGCCCGTTGCGTCTACTTGATTCCACCGCCCGCGCATTCAATTTCGCGGTCGTACCTTGTTACCTTTGTTCTACCTGAACTTAGTTCAAGTTCTCTCCAGCACAATGGCGGCCAACACCAACGTCAAGGCGTCTCTTGAGATCACCAAGGGCGCCACTGCTATGGACCCTATCCCACTCGACACCAGCTCCACTGGTTCTTTCGATGAGAACACCAACCTCTTGGGTCCCTTCCCTACTGAGGAGGAGTGGGCGACTCTTCCCAGGGTTGCTGGTCGCATCCCGTGGCAAGCATGGACTGTGGCTGCTGTTGAATTCGTTGAGCGCTTCAGTTACTACGGTACCAGCGCTGTCTTCGTCAGTAAGTTGATTGATAGCTCGTATATCTGGGCATACACTGACTGTTACCAGACTTCATTCAAAAGCCATTGCCTCCTGGTTCTACAACTGGTGCTGGTTTCTTGAAGAAGGGCGTCAGTTCCGGTGCTCTGGACATGGGCCAACGTGCCTCCACCGGTCTCACCATGTTTAACCAGTTCTGGTCTTACATCACGCCTCTCGGTGGTGCCTGGCTCGCTGACGAGTACTGGGGACGTTACAAAACCATCCAGTACTCTAACCTTATCGCTCTTATCGGCCACATTATTCTGATCATGTCTGCTATCCCCGCAGTTATCGTCAAGCCTAATGTCGCCATCGGTGTCTTCGCTGTCGGCCTCGTCGTTATGGGTTTCGGAACTGGTGGTTTCAAGAGTAACATCTCTCCACTCATCGCCGAACAGTACAAGGATCAAAAGGCCTACGTCCGTGTCAGGAAGAATGGACAGAAGGAGATTGTCGACCCCGCCACTACCACTGCGCGTATCTACATCTACTTTTACTTCCTGATCAACTGTGGTTCTATCTGTGGTTCCATCGCCATGGTTTACTCAGAGGTATGTATACTGTCATACTGTAGTGCGTGCATACACTAACGTCATCCAGCATTTCGTCGGTTTCTGGCTCTCTTACACGCTACCAACTATCTGCTACCTCCTCTGCCCCATCATTCTCATCACGATGAAGAAGCACTACAAGCTCTCGCCACCCACTGGATCCGTCATGGGCAAGGCTTTCAAGCTCATCGGTCTCGGTATCAAGCAGTCGCCCCGCAAGAACACATTCAAGGACGATGGTTTCTGGGACAGGATCAAGCCTACTGCTCTCCGCGCCAGCGGCCAGACTGTCCCTGACTGGATGACCTTCGACGATGCCTGGGTTGATGAAGTCAAGCGCGGTATCCTCGCTTGCAAGGTCTTCTTGTGGTACCCCCTCTACTGGCTCGCATACAACCAGATGACCAACAACCTTGTCTCCCAAGCCAACACCATGAACCTCGGAAAGACACCCAACGACATTGTCTCGAAGCTGAACCCCATCTTCATCGTCATCCTTATCCCAATCATGGACTTCTTTGTCTACCCTACTCTCCGCAAGGCTGGTGTCAACCTCTCGCCCATCAAGAAGATCACCGCTGGTTTCGCTCTTTCCTCGTTCGCCATGGTGTCAGCCTGCGTCATCCAATACTACATCTACAAGATGTCACCCTGCGGCAGCAACATCAACGCTCTCAGCAAGGAACGCAAAGACTGCAACGCCGACATCTCCGTCTGGGTCCAAGCCTTCCCCTACGGTCTGATCGGTATGTCCGAGATTCTCGCTTCCATCACCAAGCTCGAGTACGCGTACACCAAGGCACCCAACAACATGAAGTCTACCATTCAAGCCGTTGCCCTCTCCACCTCCGCTGTCTCCGCCGCTCTCGGCCAGGCCTTTGTCAGTCTGTCTGAGGACCCTCTTCTCGTATGGAACTATGGTTCCGTTGCTGTTGTTGCCATGTTCGGTGGTATTGGTTTCTACCTCACCTTCCGCAAGGCAGATGCTCAGGAAGATGCTATGAACAACATGAAGGAGAGCAAGTACGTGGGCGGCCGTGAGATTGGCGATGCGGAGAATGTTGAGACTCTTAGTGTTAGGGATGAGAAGAACGAGAAGAGTGGGTTGTAGATATCAAAAGCTTGGTAATGGTCAGATGATAGTAATGATACGAATGATATTCCAATATTCAACTTCTAGTTCTCCATGTCTATATTTATGAAACCATCTCATTCAAGCTATGTCGCCATCCCATCTTATAAACGCTCAGCAATAAGCCGTCTCAAGTCATATTTGTAGTACATAATTTGTATTTCTTCCTGCCATCTCGTTCTCGGGTGAACTACTCGAAGTTAGCCAGGCTTCATAAAAAATGTCCAAACAGTTGTAGTGTCGAGTAGCCAGGAGGTCTTTAAAGTCTTTGCGATCCTTCAAAGCAGTGCTACACTGCAGCCAGGAGGTCACAAAGGTCTTCGAGAACCTCAACCGACACACGATATCCTAGGTGTACAACTTACTCAGTAGTAAACCCCACCACCACTCGGACCTCCACGGCCAAACCCACCCCTGTCTCCGATACTACCAAACGGGTTACCCTTACCCGGAGGCGATCCAGACGGCTTCCCCGGTGTCATCTTCCCCTTTCCCTTCCCTCCAGGCGAGCCCACCTCGCCCTCTCCCGGCGGCGGCGGACCAAAGGCCGGGAACATGATGTGTGGATAGTTGTCTGGATGTACACCGGCGGCTCTAGCGGCAGCGATGGCGGCCTCGTGCTGCTGCATGGCTTGGAGCGCTGCCGCCGTCGGGGGTAACATCAGACCGCCGTAGCGCTGGTAGTGGCGGTAAAGTAAGATGTCGACGAGAGAACGGTTGGCGCGGATCCAGTCCATGGAGGGGTGGCCGAGGTCTGGGTTCGCGATGCGGAGGACGAGTTCGTGGACGAGGGAGGGATTGCGGTCGAAGTCGTCCTGTGGGGTGGTGTTAGTATGAGGCTTGCTAGAGGTGTGCGTGCGGGTGGAGAGGAAGTGAAAGGGTACTTACGATTGTCTCGCTCAAGTAAATGGCGTTGTTCATATCCGGATCGTAGTTGTAGTTTGGACGAACGGCACCTCGGGCATCGGTAACCGCGTAGGCCCAGCGCATGAAGGGGCTTACAGAAGAGCCGTTCCAGCGTTGGAGGGGGTTTGGCTCTTCTTCCCGAAGATGGTGGACTGTTGGTGGAGCGCGGTGGTTGGGCATAGAAGGCTGCTGGGCTTGAGGCGGGGACAGGGGCTCGATTCCAGTGCGGGAGGGGATTCGACCGTGGCGAGGAGCGTTGTATGGGCTACCAGATGAGGAAGCGCCGCCGCGCCTGGAAGGCTGGTTTCCTGGAGGACTGGACATGGTGTTGATGTTGATGTTGAAATTGGTAAGTTAAGGTTGGAAAGGATATATAGAAGTTGGTTCGAATTGAAGGAAGTGAATCAGATATAGTAGAGTCTGGATATTGCCGAAGTTGCCTCAATGTCTATGTTGATAGGAAGAGAAAGGAGGAGGGAAGGCGCGGAGGGAGACGACTTTATATCTCTGTGGGTGGAGCAATTCCCGAGGTGAGAGACGCTTGCTTTCCAGCGTGACTTCGTGTTTGGTGAGAGAAGATGAGGGGATAGTGTACTTGTGACGTCTTTGACGCAGTTTGCGTTTGCCTTTGGTCATGTAGATGGAGTATCGCGTTTGTCTTGGTAGCGATGTCGCTCAAGGTAAAACGCGTCATTGTATACTCGGTAAGCACCCTTCTTCACTCTTGTTCTTGGATTGTTGGTTCTCGAATCGGAGGAAAGAGCTGCGTAGTGAATATAGTGGCAAGGATGTTGCGCCTGGTAGGCCACAGCTCCTGCTCAGACTCCCCTCCTGTATATAGAAGCCCCTGATCATCTCAGTATACACTCTACACCAATTGTCGCTCAACCTTCCTCCACGAGCAACTCAACGTCGAAAGTCTCCAATATGTTCTCCTTCATTTCTTGTTTGACTCCCATGATCATCTTCATCTTTTCCCTGG